ACAGGATCAGCAGCTGGGCCCTGGGTTGTCCTCAGACGGAGTGTTCAGATTTGTTCTGGTTCCGACCCACGGAGATAGCTTCTTCCCCAGGTGTTGGGGTTAGAGGCGTCCTGTTCCAAGCTGTGTCTGCTTGTCTCCGTCCCTGGGCCTGTCTACCTCTGCGGTCCGCCGCCGGGCCTGTATGTCCCTGTCAGCTGCCGCTGGGTCTGTCTGCCTCTGTGGGCTGCCGCCGGGCCTGTATGCCGGGCCACCGCTGCGGACCTACCTGTGTCTGTTTGTCTCTGCCACCGGGCCTGTCTACCTCTGTGGGCCACCGCCGCGTCTGTATGTCTCTGCCGGCTGCTGCCGCCGGCCCGTCTACCTCTTTGGGCCACCGCTGCGGACCTACCTGTGTCTGCTTGTCTCCGCCGCCGGGCCTGTCTGGGGTCAACATTTTCTTCTAATAGTTCTGCCTTTATATGTTATTTGGTCTTTTTCCATGACAGCTTTTAATGTTATTCTTTGTATTGTTTTGATTATTATGTACCAAGTGGAATTTCTTCTATGGTGTAGTCTATTTGGGGTTCTGGACCTCCTTGAACCTTAATAGGCAGCTTATTCTTTAGGCTAGGGAAGTTTTCTTCTATAATTTTGTTGAAGATAGTTAACTGTGCCTTTGACCTTGGTTTCTTCTCCTTCCTCTATTCCCATTATTCATAGATTTGGTCTTTTCATAATGTCCCAGATAGCCTGGGTGGTTTGTGCTTGGAATTTTATTAGATTTCATATTTTCTTTGATGGGGGAATCCATTTCTTCTATCTGGTCTTCAGTGCACTTCTTAAACAGTTTTCTTTATTCAAATCCACTGTTTGTGTTACAGTAGATTTCATTAATGGATTGATTCATGTCCTCCTAAGGTCCTTGACCATGTTTATAATAACTATTTTGAAGTTCTTGTTTTGTGCTTCAGCATTATTGCCTTTCTCAGGAACCATGGTAGTCGAACCATGGTTACTGAGCTCTAGTGTGGACACAGTGTCAGGACTATTTTGATTGTGTCCTTCTGCTGGCATTTAGGTATCTGTGTTTAGGAGTATTTCACTTCTAGATGTTGATATCTGGTCTTGCTTCTGTTAGGTAGGCTTTTCATTGCTTAGTTTCTTTTGTCCTCCCCAGATATTGGCAAAGTGTATTGTGGCTGTGGGTTGCCTTGAAGGGAGTGCTCTGAGTCTCTTCCAGGTGTGGCCACTGGTGGCCCAAGGTAGAAAGTGAGTCTAGGTATTGGGAGCTTGCAGGAAAGAATGGGATGGGCTAGACTGGCAAGGGGCTGAGAGGGTGCATAGGGAGGATGGAAATATGAATCATGCAGCTGGATCTGTAGAATCCACAGGAAATGGAGGAAGAGGGTGAAGTCAGGTCCCTCCTCAGCAGGGTTTCTGCTCCAGGGCTGGGCATGAGACTGGATGTTTGAAAACGGAGGACAGAACAGAGAAGATTGCCTTCTTGCTTCCCTGGCCAGCATGGCCAGTGAGGTTGCAGTGGCAGACAGTGAAGGTGGCTGAGAAAATGAGAGGAGATGCGGAGTAGGCTGCAAGAGAGGATTTATTTACTCTCCCAGGATTTGGGAACAGGAAAAAGGAGAGGTCAGAGCAGGCACCCTGCTACAAAGTTGAGAATGAGACAGGGGAAGTAGAAATGGAGGATGGGAAGTAGATTGAAGTTCACGTACCTGATTCCTTGCTCAGCATGCCAAGTGTGTTTGCAGGTAGAGAGTGTCTCTGGTGTTGCTGATGAGGACAATGTGATGGGATATATGGTTGGGGGAGTGTATAAGAAACAAGAGTAGCCGGGCGTTGGTGGCACACGCCTTTAATCCCAGCACTCGGGAGGCAGAGGCAGGCGGATCTCTGTGAGTTCGAGGCCAGACTGGGCTACCAAGTGAGCTCCAGGAAAGGCGCAAAGCTACACAGAGAAACCCTGTCTTGAAAAACCAAAAAAAAAAAAAAAAAAAAAAGAAACAAGAGTAATGGTTTTTAGAATTTCTACATCGACTGAAGAAATACAGAGACACTTGAAGTGAATGCAGGAAACTCAATAATGGCTGTCTGATCATGCATGGGAAGGACTGGACATTACTGGGGCATATATGGAACATTGGAAGTTCAGAGGTGTAAACTAAGAGTCACTGTTGTAAAGGCCAAAATGTGGAGATTGTAGTGAAGTTAATTTATTTGATAGTAACTGTAATATATTTCCTTAATAATGGATGCTGTGAGGAACCCAAAATATATATCTTCATGTTAAATTATATACCAATGAAGTAATCGGATATTTGCCGTTCTTCTGTGGGAGAGTTGACACTTTATTATTTCCCTAGATTTTTGTAAGAGTGTCAAAGATTTCTTCTGGATGTGACAACCTTTACATCAGATCAAAGAATATCCATGTCAGATTTAAAAATCTGAGTCTGGGATTATGGGTTCAGACAGTGATCTGGTGAGTAGTGGGATCCAGCTGGATTCTGAAGTCTCTGCATTGTGGTAAATAATGATCCTTTGGCTAACAGGGGGCATTGTGTGTCTGTGACATACCACTTCCACTTGCTGAGAGAAGCTGGCCTTAGGGCTCACCCTGTGCTCACTGAGGACACTGTCCTGTCAGAGTTCAGGGAGAAAGGGGCTCCACTCTGTCTTAGCTAGTGATACCTCCCAAGACTCTTCCTCTCCTGAAAGCCTAACTGTCTCTGCCCCAGACTGTCATGTGAGCTGAGCCCCACAGTAGGGCTCACAGATTCTTCTCAGTCTCAGTGGAGACATGACTGAGGGAACAGCCACTTCTCTGCAGAGGTGGGAAAGGAGGCCTGGGGCAACCTAGACTCCCTGTGGAGACCAGGGGTCTGTGCCCACTTATTCTCTCTTGAACTGCTTCTTTCTCACTGCAGGGGTAGAGACTGGCCTAAGAGCTGTGGTGTCACTTGCTATATCTGCTCTTGTGCACAGATCACTCAACACTTTCCCACAGCAGCACCTCACCTGTCATCTGTTAGTACCTATTTACTGCAAGTAACCTTTCCCAGTCCACCATCCTGCCCTTTGCAACTCTGCTAACTTTGCTGACTTACCTGAACCTTGAGCATCAAAATCAGTGCTATTGTCTCTAGCACACAATGATGCAAATAAAAATAAAATAAAATAAAATAAAATAAAATAAAATAAAATAAAATAAAAGTCAGACATCCATCCCTCATATCTCCTTGGCTGCCCCTCTAGTCAATAGGAAGTGGTCCTGCAAGAAATACTAAATTCTCAACTTTCTTATCAAATACTATAAAACAAACCTTGTCTTTCCATTCTCTTCTGTCAATACTGAACTTCTGCTTTCTCAGTCCTTTGATGTCCCTTATGAAGTGCCCACTCCTCTTCAAGATTTAGAAGGTTTGCCCAGCCAGACATAAGCAACCTCATTTATTTAAATAATGCCTACAACAAAAAAAGGAATGTTCATCCATACAGGGACTTTCTCTTCCCTCTTTAGCCCCTTGGTGGTTCACAAGCTCTCCTGGGTTGACTGCTGTGTGCTCTCCCTGCCTGTCCACATTCATCAGACAAATATATCAGTAATGGCTCCACTAGAACACATCCTTTCATGTGTCTGAAATATAAGGTGAAAAAAACACAGCAGAACTGATATATTGAACAATTGTGAAAGGTGATGGTTGCTTTGGGACTTAAGGGAGTGTGCTAACACTCTCTTTTTGGAATTTCTTCAGGCCAGGTGCCCACATGTGCTAACCTTAATAGACATGGGGCCAATGACGGAGTCCTCCATTTGTTTTGAGAATCTACTGTCCTACTGTGGATCTGAAAGAGGTCTTTGCACATAGTCCGGCATGTGTTACCACCTGCTTCACAAAGTAATTTACTTCCCCTGACTTACTGTTTCAGGAACTCACACTGTGAATCAATCACTAGGAGGAGTTAATGAGAACTCATTTGCATGACTAACCCCTTTTCTGAGAGGCCCTGGAGATGAGATACTGAGACAGACCAGATAGAAGGCCCTGGTGTAAGGAGAAGCTGTGCTGTGCCTACCATGGCTTGGACTCCTCTCACCTTCATGATTCTATCTTACTGTACAGGTAGGGACAGGTCTAAGAATACTGGGGAGGACTCCTAGACTCAATGAGTCCATTTTGCTTTAGATCCCTGAGAATTTGCACCTTAGCTCTGCTGTTCACTGTGGTGTCCTCTTTTGCAGGTTCCTTTTCTCAGTCTATGCTGACACAACCACCCTCTATCTCTGAGGCTCTTGGATCAACAGCCAGACTCACCTGCACCCTGAGGAGTGGCATCAGTGTTGCTGGTAAATACATTTACTGGTACAAGCAGATGCAGGGGAACTCACCTCGGTTTTTCCTGTGCTACTACTCAGACTCAGACAAGAAGCTGGGGCCTGGAGTCACCAATAGAGTCTCTGGATCCAAAGATACCTCCCAAAATGCTGCAAATTTGCACATCTCTGAGCTACAAGCAGAGGATGAGGCTGACTATTACTATGCCATCTGGGAAAGTAATGTGTCTAACAGTGATACAGGCAGATGGGGAAGTAAGGCATAAATTCTAGCTTGTGATAAAAAAAATCAGAACTATTTCTTCATTACCTTGCAATATTTGTACACTATTAAAGAAAAAGATAATGAAAAAGTTCATTCAGAATTTTTGTTCCATGTTTTCACCAAATAATAGAGAAAAAAGAATCAAACTATCAAAGAAAACCCCCAGACCTACAGTTTAGTTGACAACAAATGCTGGTGAAGATGAAGGGGAAGGAGAATCTTCACCTAGTGTTGGTGAGCTTGCAAAGTATAGCAGACGCCCTGGAAATCAGTGTGGAAAATTCCCCAAAGGTCTTAGATGAGAAATACTATATGACTGAGATGTATGACTCCTTAGCATATGCTGAAAACACATGATTTCCCACTACAGATGTACTTCTGCAGCCAATGTTCCTCAACATTCTATTCACAATAGCTAATAAAGGGAAGTAGCCCAGTGATTATTCAACTGGTTAATGGATAATGGAAATGTGGTACAAGTATACAATTCCATTCAACTGTGAAGAAAAATGAAATCTGCAAATGAATCGGTGAAACTGGGAAAGATTATACTTGGTTAGATCACCCAGGTGCAGAAAGACAAATGTTGGCTGTTTCCTCTTTTTTGTAGATTCTAGAACCGAATCTTCTTGGTTTGAATGTAAAACCTTGAATAATCATGAAAGCCAGGAAAGTAGAAAGAGAGCACTGTGGGAGGAGTTGTAGCTTCTGAGAGAGAAATAGCAGGGCACAGGTGCTATGAAGGGAAAAATAAAGGTGGGGCTTGACCAGGGAAGAGGAAGGAAGTACTCCATAGAGAGAGGGAAGGGGAGGGAGAGATACACAGTGAGAGGGAAGAATAGGGAGAGTAGCATGTAGTGGGTAGCCATTCCAGCTTTGATCTGGAAGTTCCAACCCCCATTGAGGTTTTGGTAACTGTCACGCCTACAAGGCGGGGCCAAGAGAGGACCCTGAAGACCTGAGATCCCAGATGGGCCAGTTCTCTTGGTTCCTGGACCCTGGACGCTGGAGGTAGACTGAGCAGAGTTCTCCAGAGAACACCGCCAGACTGCGCTACACCTTTTCCAGACCCTGTTGCCTATCCCTTCAATTGTAAGTTAGAGAAAGGGACATAACACTAACGGTGTTTGAGATCAAGAGCAAAACCTACTATATATATGCTCACTTAAAAATACATAGAAACACATATTGTTTTAGTGAAGTGACTTCACATAGTGGAAATACGAATCCCTTGGACCTGTAGATTGGGTGAAACCACCCAACTGCATCAATGAAAAACATCCATTGAGTTGTTGGTGACTGGTCCAAGAGAACTCCAAAATGATAGAAACTACTGCTATTGTGTCAGATTCCAGCTCTAGCGGGGTTATAAGCCACAGGATGGAGGTGTAAAATAGGTAAAAAATGAAGAGTCTGACTACCGATTTTATTTCAAACAGATTACATCAAACAACTCAACCTGTTTTTATTTATGCAAATTATAATGCATTCAAGCATGAGCAATTGCAACACATTTTTCTTTAATCATTTTCCAATAATTATCGACACTACTGATTTTAGTTTACTTTCCTCTTTCCCACTCCATTGACAATCATTGACCTTTATCCCATATCATTAAATTTTATATTGCGAGTCAAATGATTATATCTAGCCACATTTTATTCATACTGTGCCCTAGCTAGCAGCAAAAATTCGGTTACAAAAAAAGAGATTCAAGCCTATGATTTGTCCTTAAAAATGTGATTCTTTTATATTTTTGTAATCAACTGAGTGTATGATGCCATACCTAGGATTTAATTTTTAGGTCTAAATAAATTTCTAAATAATCTATGTATCCCTTTTTTGTGGAGGACAGTTATAATCCTATTCTTTATAAACTTTCAAAATGGCAGTGATTACCTAACTCTTTAACTGCTGGGACCAGTTTCTCTTCTTCCTGGCAGTTTATATGTGTACTTTTTACTCCCAAAGGAACTGGGAGTTTTAAGTGAAAAATATCTAACCATTCATGTCCTGGTACCAGGGAGATGCCTGAACTTTGATTTTCTTTACACTTTCCTTGTATGTTCCTTATAGGTTTTAATGTCATCTTTTAAGAAACTGTCTCCTGCCGGGCATTGGTGGTGCACGCCTTTAATCCCAGCACTTGGGAGGCAGAGCCAGGCGTATTTCTGTGAGTTTGAGGCCAGCCTGGGCTACCAAGTGAGCTCCAGGAAAGGCACAAAGCTACACAGGGGAACCCTGTCTCGAAAAACCAAAAACCAAACCAAACAAAAAAAAAACAAAACAAAAAAAATAAACAAACAAACAAAAAAAACAAAAAGAGAAACTGTCCGTTAAGTTCTTAAGTTCTTTGGAATATAGTTATCTCACTTTTAAGATAGTTAAATCAGCAAGAGTCATTAACCTTAGTGAGTTCCTCCTGCTTACTCAGAATGACTGCACAGGCAGTCAAGGGTGACCAGAGAAACTGGTTCCTATGAACAACTGCAGAGATGATTGATTTCTTTGTAGAAACATTTTAAAAACTTATCAGTTTTGTTCCCAATAAACTCAGACACAATCATAACTAAAAAAGCAAAACTAAGAATTATCATAAGAATAAGTATAGCAGAGATGATTGATTTCTTTGTAGAAACATTTTAAAAACTTATCAGTTTTGTTCCCAATAAACTCAGACACAATCATAACTAAAAAAGCAAAACTAAGAATTATCATAAGAATAAGTATAGTGAAAGTTAGAGACCCCTGAAGCCCATGAGCTCCCTAGGATCAGCCCTGGGGTGCTGGGGATGCTGTGAATGTGTTGCTCTGATTGATTGATAAATAAAACACTGATTGGCCAGTAGCCAGGCAGGAAGTATAGTATAGCAGGATAAACAGAGAAGAGAATTCTGGGAAGTGGAAGGCCGAGTCAGGAGACACTGCCAGCCACTGCCACCATGAGAAGTAAGATGTAAAGTACCGGTAAGCCACAAACCATGTGGCAACTTATAGATTAACATAAATGGGTTAATTTAAGGTATAAGAACTAGATAGCAAGAAGTCTGAGCCATTAGGCCAAACAGTTTAAATAACGTAACCATCTTTATGTTTATTTGGATCTGAGTGGCTGCAAGCCTGGGCAGGACTGGAGGTAACTCCAGTAACACAGGGGTCTGCACCATTGCTTCCAGAGGTCCTTGCCAGGTGGATGGGATTTTCCAATGGGCCTTGCCATAAGGATCACCATTCACAAAACATTTATGTATCATTCCCAGAGGTGACAGCTTAGCTTCTCCTGACACTGCTTTTGTTAGCCTGTTATTGTGGTGATATTTTATTTGTATGTTAATAAATAAAGTTTGCCTGGAGATCAGAGGACATAGCCAGCCATAAACAAAACTCAAGCGGTGGTAGCATGCACCCTGTCACTGTCCAGTCACATGGCAAGCAGAGTCTCTGTGTGTTCAAGGACACACTAGGAAACAGCCAAGTGTGGTGACACATGCCTTTAATCCCAGTACCAACCATAGAGACCAGGAGGTCTGTACAGACAGACAGTGACAAGGAAGTGAGGTGGCTGGGCTAAGAGCCAATGAGAGGGCAGAACAGCAAGGCAATAAAGGTGCAGGTTAGACAGGAAGAAGTTCTCTCTTGGAAAGCTATGGTGGTGTGGTGAGCTAAGGTTAGCTGGTGGCTATCACTATTTCTCTGATCTCTACGGCTTTCACCCCTGTATTTGGCTCTGTGTTTCTTATTTTTAAATTTATTTATTTAATGCCAAATGCTATTTATTGAAGGAGGGAAGAGGTCTTAAATACAGGCTTACAGCACAATGGGAGAACCCCGGAGGGCAAAATGTGTTTCTTATTTAATTAGACCGTTTAGAAATTCATCCACTTCCCTTCTGGACCAGAGAGGTGAGTATCCAGGCCCAACCCGGACCCCATCCCTGGGTACCAGCCACTCCCAGGAAGACATGCTCAACTTGGCCCCAGGTTCTGGCCACCAGACAGGTCCCCTTCTAGCCCCACTGGGAAGGATCCCCTTGTCCAAGCCCCCTGGCAGCCCCTATAATCTCCACGCCCAGCCCCCATGCCCATCTGCCTGAGACCCCAGCCACTTCCTGAGACTTAGAGACTGGACCCCAGCTCCCATCCTGCTCCCAACTTCCCTTCTGGATCAGAGGTGAGTATCCGGGCCGAGCCTGGACCCCATCCCTGGGCACCAGCCACTCCAGGAAGACCTGGCCAACTTGGCCCCTGGTTCTAGCCACCAGGCAGGTCCCCTTCTAGCTCCACGGGGAAGGATTCCCTTCTCCAAGCTGCCCCCCCCCTGGCAGCCCTGCAATCTCCACACCCTGCCCCCACGGCCATCCGCCCGAGACCCCAGCCACTTCCTGGGACTTAGAGACTGGCCCCCAGCTCCCATCCTGCCCTGGAGTTCCCTTCTGGACAAGAGAGGGCTCCCATCTTGCCCTGGACTTCCCGTCTGGACAAGAGCTTACATCCTGACCTGGACTTCCCTTCTGGACAAGAGCGCACATTCTACCCCGGACTTCCTGTCTGGACAAAAGCTCCCATCCTGCCCCAGACTTCCCATCCAGATAACAGCTTCCATCATGCCCCAGA